CAGGAAGTTGACATCAAATTCAGAAATGAATCCCGTCATATGGCATGCCTAAACAAAGAGTGTGTAAACTTTCATGCATCTGCAATAAGTAGCTGATGAGAAACTGCAACAAATATTTGTTATATATGGTATAGACAGACACAAAGATAAACAGGAAGTTGACATCAGACTTGTACAAAAATAAATCCCACGATATGGCATGCCAAAATAAAGAATGTGCTAAAATTTCAAGCATCTGCTCTGAGTAATTGCTGAAAAAACTGCGAAAAAAATTCGTTATGTACGGTACGGACAGACGCACAGATAAAAAGGAAGTTGGCATCAAATTCATACAAAAATGAATCCCACCATATGACATGCCTCAGCAATGAGTGTGCTAAAATTTCAAGCAATAAGTAGTGCTTAGAAAACTGCGACGGAAATGTGTTATGTGTGGTATGGACAGACACATGGATAAACAGGAAGTTGACATCAGATTTGTACGAAAATGATTCCCACCAAGCCTAAACAAAGAGTATGCTAAAATTTCAAGCATCTGCAATGAGTAGTTGCTGAGAAAACTGTGACCAAAAATTTGTTATGGACAGTCAGACAGACACACACACAGCTAGACAGACAAGGGTAAAACAGTACCTTTTGGAGCAAGAATATAATAATACATTCCCAACACATGAGTCACCATACTACATGTACAACACACATAACAAATAACAAAATTACCACACATAATAAGCTACACTACTAACACACATGTCGAGTCACTACACTACTAACACACATGTCGAGTCACTACACTACTAACACACATGTCGAGTCACTACACTAATAAAATATACATTACAAAAAAAATTATTAAAACACACAATGAGCTATACCAGTAACACACATCAAATTAAAATATACTTTCCCAACACATGAGTTGCCATACTACATATACAACAACCATAACAAATAACAAAAATACCACATATAATAAGCTACACTTCAAACACACATGTCGAGTCACTACACTACTAACACACATGTCATGTCACTACACACTAACATACTTGTGGAGTCACTACAATACTAATATATACACTACAAATAACTATATTAAAACACACACAATGAGTTATACAAGTAACACACATAAAATTATACATTCCCAACACATGAGTCACCATACTACATGTACAACTCACATAACAAATAACAAAATTACCACACATAATAAGCTACACTACTAACACACATGTCGAGTCACTACACTACTAACACACATGTTGAGTCACTTTACTACTAATATATACATTACAAATAACCATTTTAAATCACACGATGAGGCATATCAGTAACATACATAAAATTATACATTCCTAACACATGAATCACCATACTACATACGTACACAAAATAACCACACATCATAAGCTACACTCATAACACACATGTCGAGTCACTACACTACTTACACACATGTCGAGTCACTACACTACTAATATGTATTACAAAAAACAATATTTACACACATTATGAGTTATACCAGTAACACACATAAAATTATACATTAATTCCCAACACATGAGTCACCATACTATATGTACTATCATACATGTAAAACAAATAACAAAATTACCACACATAACGAGCTATACTACTAACACACATTTCAAGTCACTACACTACCATTCATATAATGTTATATATAAATGAGGTCATATAAGGAGTCAATACATTTACAATAGAGTCAACATGCTCCTAAAACACACTTATATTAGGTCGTTATAGCACTTGTCACATGTACTAGCACATGAATCACTATTATGACAAAAGAATTCTTTAGATGTACATGTAGTTGTTATTTAATCTTTGTCTAGCTGTTATGATATTTTAACAGCAAATTTTATACTCTTTCCTGCAAATTCAAAGATTGTTCTGCTTTCTGGAGGGGCATTCAAACACTTCAATTGACCATGTTTAAGTCATACTGACTTATTCCACTCCACATTGGCACTCTATGGCTGTTTTTCTTTTGTCCACACATCTTACAAATGGAACTGAAATACATAATTATATAATAGAACCATTAAAGCTTTTACATAAAATTGAAATAAAAATATATCAGTGATCAAGTTTCCAATCTTAATTAAGACACAACAACACTTCTTTAAAAGCAAAAGGACAAGAATAAATTTTAAAATTAAAATTCCTAAAACAGCTAGTTAACATTTTGTGTATTTGATTTGTATTAAATGATTATCCTTTAGAACTTGTTAGCCTTTTGAATTACTGTAAATGTATAATATTTAGCATGTACGATATTTGGCAGAAGTTGATTACTGAGCAAGTTAGCGGAGATTTGATTTAGAGCATTTGTTAATGTTCTTCTTTATGTGTATTTGTGCAAGACATTTAGCGTTGTACTTGAATTAGCGGACATTGCTTTCCGACAAAGGCACTAAAAAGAATACACAGCGAAAAGTATATTCACAACTTAACAAACACTTTCTGAAATTTTGGGTTATCCTTTTCTTTTGTCCTTGCCTTTGGTTTCCTATCAAGCTTTCCAGTTTAAAGTGCCAAACTTTAATCTCATCTTGTTCTATAATTTACATATCAAAAGGTTGGAATCTTTATAGTTAGGACTATATATTAGTACTCACAACAGAATACATGCATCTAGACAAATAAGGATTTTTTCAAAATGAAAACATGTATCCAAGCAAGTCACTTATAAGAATATTATAAATGAAAACATTCAACAAGCTACACAAATTAGATTCATTTAGCTTTTCCAGTATATTTATCTGTCTCTCATTAGTAACATATATTAATTAATGGAGTAAAATGAAAGACCTAATTTTAATTACACTAAAAGTCTACCAAGTAACAGTAATATGTAATAATTAGTTTTACATGTTTCATAATGTGCATAAGGAGATGGGTGAACAAGGCATGCAAAAAGCCTATAGCTTCAAATGTATAAAAGTCATATTCAAATACTGAGTTTAGTATTTAGAGTAAAGTTCTTCTTATTGAAAGGTATAACATTATATTACAAACAAAACTTTTCTGTGGAAAATTCTTTAAGCAAAAATCATTCTATGATAAAAAAAAAAAAAAAAGTGGTATTCTAGGGGTTGAAACCCAAGCAATGAAATTAAATCCTGAATATCAGTTTTTTTTCTAAGAGACTAACATGCTAACCACTAAACTACATACATGTAGCTCATGACAAAAATGGGCATTTACATATGTAAATCACATTTAAAAATGTGGCTCTTGACTAAATGGATTTCAAATATATTTCTGAAAGATATGCAGGGTTTGACACTAAGGCACGTCCGACTGACCCAGTCTAGTAAATGCATGGTCTGTCATGTTAAATGTTCAATAACTTGCCCGACTGGTTGTGTGGATGAAATAAATGTTAACTCTCATTTCAGTCTTTCAAATAAATGCTCTGACTAAAAACTTTTTAAAGAAATTTTCTTAATTTTCAGATTGCAAACACAGCCATTGCTCTGAAAAAGAAAACTTTCCTGCATGACACAATTGCTATTTTTTTTAGACCGGCTGTAATAGACAAGTCACAATCGAAACCTCAGCTTTGTTCAGTATCATTTGGTATAAATATTCATTGAATATTATAGTTTTTAATTTATTTACATGTATATTTACGGTAATAATTTTATTTAAGTTCCTTGAATTAATGTTCTTTAAAGCTTATATCATTCGCATGTTCACTCATTGGGCTGCTACCTATGGGCTCAACAGTCTGTCAAAATGTATACATGAACACATGCGAGAGATACACTGTAGTATGGTTTCAAAACTTTTTTCCCATTATAATAGGAGGTTATAAATAGAAAATTTTCAAATTTGGTCAGTGCTAGTGAATTTATGGTCAGAGCTAGTAAAAATTATGGGAAGTAGCACGACTGATCTAGTACTCATAAAAGTTAATGTCAAACCATGATATGAATGTTGTTGTGACTAGTGGTGTTCCAATCATCGATTATAATCGAAAATCAGTCAATTGCTGGCATAATCCAAGCACTCGATTACAAATTTTTTATTCTGATTAATCGGGTTATTTATTTTATTTAAAAAGCGTAATAGTTTTTAAGCCAAATATTCCAGCCGCAACTTTTCTATTAACTTATATGCATATCGTAATGGCACAGACAAAGAGACATTGTATTCATACCCAGGTAACAACGCTCATTCCTGGGTATGGACGTACTCTGGATTCTACAAAATGAGCGTAGAACCAGCTTGACTAGATAGAACATTCTGTCGTTAAAATGATATTGTCCTAAGGACTAGGGGTTGTTCCGAGACACAGTTATTCCAACTACAACTGGACCACCACAGAAAGTAGTTATTCAACCATTCTTACCATTTAATAAACTAAAATTGACAGACTTTGTAAATGTCCGATTATAATTGATAATTAGTTACAGTAGCCTGATCATCGATTATGAAATTCTTACCAATTCCCATCACTAGTTGTGACATAAAAGTCTATTTTTAGAAGAGTTGGTCATTTCACCATGTTTTTGTCAAACGAAATAGGAAAAGTTTTAAATATGCTTCGAGTATAATCTTACCAAAATATGGAGTGAAGACCTACTCATATTTAAAAAGTATGATATAGGAGGAAAAAATGACCATTTTTGCCCTCTTTTGGTGTGTATCTGCTATTTCATAGACCAATAATATTAATCGTTATAAGATTGTAGCAAATTGCAAAGATTTTACATAAGGTATACAATAATGTTACATGAAGTATCAAAGAAAATTTTGACATGATTAAGATTTAACTTTTTACATCTTTTTTTGTCACACAATAGGCATTTACTTGCCTTGTTTGCCCATCATCTTTATCAGTAGATAAGGTTTATGATTCAGACGGCATCTGATAATGCAGCAATAAAATGTAAAATGATAGAAATAACTGCACTATGCTCACTTTTTTCCTCCCAGAGCTCTTCTTTTCATCTTCAATTTCTTTCTCTTCATTTCCTCAACTCTTTCTTCTATTGCAAGTTCTGTAAAAAAAAAAAATCCAATTCGATAAACTACTAAACTGACAAAAACTCAATTTGTCAAGTTTCGGATTTTACCAGATTCATGAAAAATCTTGGCATACTGAACCTTTTTAGTGATTTATCTGAGAAAAGAGTGGTTAGTAACTTATTCGTTTTCATGTACCTGCTTGACTTCAACAGAAACGTTTTGGTACTAGAATGTGAAATACATACTTTTGTTATTACCTAAAATATTTCCATGACCTCAAATTCACCTATATTTCTTGCTGCTATTAAAGCCTGGTCAAGAAATAACGTTTCCCCTATAACAGGCATCAATTAACAAGGTTATGATTCAAAGTTTCAAAGTGTGCAGCTTGATTCACACAAAAGAAAAAAAACATGACTGAACAGATTTACAAGTACTTGCAAAGACTAGAAATGTGTCTTGATTGACATTTTCAGCCTAAGGTAAAGTCAGGGCATAGTCATGTAACATGTAACATTTTTCATGATGAATTACCTATATACAGTCCAATCTCATTATCTTAAACTAGATGACACAAAGTAAAAAAAATAAAGATGTTCCTGGGTTCCAGTAAAGAGTACTCAAATACCACTTAATCATACAGTGAAACCTGTGTAATCCGACATGCACTGGGAGACAAATTTTTTGTCGGAATAGATAGGGCGTCGTATTGATCAGTGTAAAAAAACATAGAAAAAAGTAAAATGGGAATGAAATTTAACCTTGGAATTTACAGTGTGACGGATTGCACAGGTGTCAGATTAGACAGTTTTCACTGTACAATCATATAATTATGGAGATAACGAAGCTCAAGAGTCCATAGAAAAAATACAAATCAGGAGCAAACACGGACCACTAAAAACATCAGAGGTGGGATCAGGTGCAATATAGGAGTAAACATCCTCTGCCAATCATTCACATTTGATGTGTGCTCCTTGTCATGATCGGGAAAACGGAAAAGTCTGTAGACAATTCAATGTGTAAACAGACAATTCAATGTGTAAATAATGGCCAAACAATTAGTATTAAAAACATCAGTCCGCATTCGACTTACATGTAATGAAAGATTGTTGTCATTGTATCGACCATAGCTAATTACACACATGCAAGTCACTACATCCAGTCAAAGTTGATGTTTTGATATTTTTTCTCAAAATATTTATGAAAGAATAAGATAAGTACATGGTAATTTTGTTGACTTGAAGAAATACATTGATGGGGAAGGGGGGGGGGGGGTATTGTGATAATAATTACCTAGTCCTTTTTCATTCTGCCTTTTTCTTTATTTCTTTCCCTTTCTCTTCCGTTCCACCCTCTGGCTCATTATCTTCCATCACTTCATCCCTCTCAGAAATGGTTTCCAGTACAGATAAAGTGGTTGATGAATGACTTACTCAAAATTATGGACCCATGATATAGATGTTGTAATAATGTTACATGACACACACTGCAAGTCACTGTGCCCTGTAAAAATTGTTACCTTCTTCATTTATATTTAAGGATCAAGAACTAAATAAGAATTCATTCTTAAGTTTTACAAAAAAACTATATAAATCAGGATTTGAGAGGGCTTTGTAAAAATACTGTGAGATACATAATGTAATAACCTTGTCCTTTCTTCACCTTGTCCTCCTTGTTCTTCAGCGTTTTCTCCACTTCCTCATCTTCCTTCATTAAATCTTCCCTAGTAGCTGCTTCTAGTAGAAATAAATACCAATAAAATAAATTAAAAAGATCTTGACTCAAGAAACAGTAATGGTTACACATATTATAAAAAAAGAACATTCTTAGAATATTTGTGAAGAACTAAATAAGTATTTTAGCTAATCAAAGTAAAAGACATTCCTATCAAATAGAAAACAAGAAGTCTGTGATCGAGCCAATGCTCACTAGTAATTATAATTCCCGCACTGATTTGAATTTGGTACGGACAAGCACAGGGGTAAACAGGAAGTTGACGTCAAATTCATACAAAAATGAATCCCACCTTATGGCATGCCTAAACAATTTAAAAGTGTGCTAAACTTTCAAGCATCATCCTTAACAGTTGTTGAGAAAACTGTGATGGAAATTTAGTACGGACAGATGGAGGGATAAACAGGAAGTTAACATGGGATTCCTACAAAAATACATCCTACCATATAGCATGCCTAAACAGAGAGCGTGCTAAAATATTAAGCACCTTCGATGAGTAGTTGCTGAGAAAAGTGCAACAGAAATTTGGTAAGGACATGGATATAATAAATATGACTAATTTAAATCATGTTTCTGTCATTCCATGTGAACTTTGATCCTCTTCTGTGGCCCTACCCTACCCCTAGGGTCCATAAATTGAACAAACTTGAATCTACACTACTGGTATTTCAGGAAGCTTTCAAATACATGCAAGTTTCTCAATTAATGCAAAATTGGTTATTTTCACTGGTTTAAATTTTCATGATTTGAGGGGATTTAATTTGTGGTTGAAAAAAAAAAAAAAAACATATGACACCATATCATAAAATTTCGATATTTGGTTTCACTACAATGTATACTAGTAGCTTAACACTGGAGGGTTTTTTTTTTTATTTTGCCTACCATGAAATGAGGCCTTGATTTTTAAGGTTTCATTTAAAACACATGCATCTTTCACTTATAGAGTCACAGCTTAGTAACCGAACAATCTCATTACCTATTTCAAACATCTTGGATTGACAAGGTGCTAGGAACAAGAATTGAACAGGGACCTATTAATTATAATGCGAGTACCGACAACAACTACCGTCTAGGCTACTGTGATTTGTCAGTTTCAGGAATTAAGATAAGGGATATCAATAATGAACACTTAAGTAATTATTGCAAAATATAAAGTCTAAACATTTCGGAAAGACTATGAATTTTAAATTAATTCTACTGATTTAGTTAAAAGTTTTTGTTAGAGACTGATAAAGGAGACTTAAATTTTCAATTCAACTTTCCAGCATCATGTTTTATACAGTGTAAGCATGGCCTGACTAAATATATGCCTGAGATATTTTAATGTCAGGGTTCAACACTAATGTTAGTCCGTTAGTCTGATCAGACTAATACATTTTCATTTGGACTAATAAAATCTGTCGCTAGTAAGTCCCAACAGACCAATAAAAATTTCTGGAAAACAAAATGAATAAATTACGATTTTCAACAACATTTACTAGAAAACCCTGCATGTATTTTTAGCTTTCTAGCATCTTAGCAGGTAGTAAGGTAATTCTGAGTCAAGTTGGCACTTAATTTTACGACTGACTGATGTGAAATTAAACATTTTAGTGATTATGATTTAGTCCTGTACAAACAATTAAGGTGGATTCCGCCCAGAATTTCGTTGGACACCAAGGGTATTCCACCGAATCCACAAATTCAAGGCTCTCAGAGATTCCGCCTAAATTTAACAGATTCCAGTCATCAAATTCTAGGCTGAATTTAGTTCAGTGGGAAAATAGCTGGAAATTATAAAAAGAAATATTTTGGACAGTTTAAATGGAATCTATATTCAGGCGGAATCCTGTTATTTCAATTCTAGGTGGAATTTCAATTTCCATGCAGGCAGAATGTCAATTTCCAGGCGGAACTAATTACATTTTCGCCTCAAAGAGCTATATACGGTAAGGGCGTATTCCTGCCCCCATAATAGTCAAATTTTGAAAATCTCTTGAAATGAGAAAAAGTGCATATATTGTATAAAATAACCCAAATTCAGACAATATATTATGAAATTGGAAAAATTAGTTGGCTTTTCTTGTCTCTGTGACGTCACAAACTATTTGGATTTCCGTTATTTTTAAAATAGAGGCCAAAATGCACAGAGTTTGTTCAATTTTGACTATAGTATTTATAGAGCGCAAGCTTGCTCAGGTACCATATTTCATTGATATTATCATTCTACACATTATATCAAAAGATCTAGTCTGAGCAGACCTGCGCTCGATAATTTCCAATCAAAATACCGACATAAAATACGCTATTTTCTCTCATAATCATTGCAATTTGGAATTTACGTCATTTTATTGACGTCATATCTAACTAATGATGTCATAGTTGATAAAAATATTTAATGCTTTGAAGTCTGCAAATATCCACCTGGTTTAGAACATAATTAAAGATTTCTCCATCAAAGTTTTATTTTGGGGGCAGATACTGGCCACTACAGAATATAGTCCTTTCCAGCTAGTCTCCGCTTGGTTAACGCTTGGTTTCTGCTTATATTGCTTTAACATTTATAGTAAGTTTTACGCCTGGAATTTTACTGAGAATTCTGTCTTGATTATGCCTTTTTCCAGGTGGAACATTTTGTACAGGGTATGATACATAAAGATGTCAAACGTTTTGAGTATAATGAACGAGATCAGGAATATGTTCATACTTCCTGCATGATCACGAGATTTTAAACAAGAGGCCCAGGGGCCACATCGCTCACCTGAGCACTATGGCTAGGAAAAAACAGAATTCAGTTCAGTCTTGAAAGGTTGAAAAGTTTAAATAAAAAAATTGTTCGGGGGGGGGGGGGGGGTCATGAATTGAACAAATTTGAATCTACACTATCTGAGGATGCTTCCATTTAAATATGACCAAACATGACTTTGCTGTTCTTGAGTAGAAGATTTTTAAAGATTTAACCTATGTATTCCTATGTAAAACTTTGATCGCCCATTGTGGCCCCACCCGACCCCCGGGGGTCATGATTTGAACAAACTTGAATCTACACTACTTGAGGATGCTTCCATGTAAATATGACCAATCATGGCTTTGCTGTTCTTGAGAAGAAGATTTTTAAAGATTTTTCCTATATATTCCAATGTAAAACTTTGATCGCCAATTGTGGCCTCAACCGACCCCCAGGGGTCATGATTTGAACAAACTTGAATCTACACTACCTGAGGATGCTTCCATGTAAATATGACCAATCATGGCTTTGCTGTTCTTGAAAAGAAGATTTTTTAAAGATTTTTCCTATATATTCCTATGAAAAACTTTGATCGCCCATTGTGGCCCCACCCGACCCCCGGGGGTCATGATTTGAACAAACTTGAATCTACACTACCTGAGGATGCTTCCATGTAAATATGACCAATCATGGCTTTGCTGTTCTTGAGAAGAAGATTTTTAAAGATTATTCCTATATATTCCTATGTAAAACTTTGATCGCCCACTGTGGCCCCATCCAACCCCCGGGGGTCATGATTTGAACAAATTTGAATCTACACTATCTGAGGAGGCTACCATATAAATATGACCAATCATGGCTTTGCTGTTCTTGAGAAGAAGATTTTTAAAGATTATTCCTATATATTCCTATGTAAAACTTTGATCGCCCATTGTGGCCCCACCCGACCCCCGGGGGTCATGAATTGAACAAACTTGAATCTACACTACCTGAGGATGCTTCCATGTAAATATGACCAATCATGGCTTTGCTGTTCTTGAGAAGAAGATTTTTAAAGATTTTTCCTATATATTCCTATGTAAAACTTTGATCGCCCATTGTGGCCCCACCCGACCCCCGGGGGTCATGATTTGAACAAACTTGAATCTACACTATCTGAGGAGGCTACCATATAAATATGACCAATCATGGCTTTGCTGTTCTTGAGAAGAAGATTTTTAAAGATTATTCCTATATATTCCTATGTAAAACTTTGATCACCCATTGTGGCCCCACCCGACCCCCAGGGGTCATGATTTGAACAAACTTGAATCTACACTACCTGAGGATGCTTCCACATAAGTTTCATATTTTCACGCTCTGTGGTTCTTGAGAAGAAGATTTTTTAATGATGCCATTAATTTTTCACAAATTCTTAATTATCTCCCCTTGGAAGAAGGCGTGGCCCTTCATTTGAACAAACTTGAATCCCCTTTACTTAAGGATACTTTGTGCCAAGTTTGGTTGAAATTGGCCCAGTGGTTCTTGAGAAGAAGATGAAAATGTGAAAAGTTTACAACAACAACGACAATGACAACAACAACGACAGACAACGGACAAATTCTGATCAGAAAAGCTCACTTGAGCCTTTGGCTCAGGTGAGCTAAAAATCTTTGGAATAAAACACTTCATGTACTTTCAAAAAACTATAAAAAGTACATTGTAATCAGTCTTCGACAAATCCCGGGAGTCCGAAGCCCGGGACCTGGTAAAATTGGAAGGGGGCATGTGGAAATTGCATACTTACAAGCCCAAAGGGCATGTGAATTCTGAGGCCTAAGCCTCCGTATTATCAAATTAAGTAATACCAATAACATTAAATGTACTTAAAAGTCTGATTTTTCATCTGAAGTGGAGCACCAAATAAAATTTTAACGATAGTTTATTCTACCACGATTTCCAGGGAACTCTTTTGCAAAAGAAACACAAAAAGTGTACAGGTTGAAAACAATATTAATGGCTAGACAATAGATCAATAGAAATGGATTTCGGATCATTTCCTTGCCATGCAAAGGCAAATAAGAATAAAATTACTTGATAAAATTCTGGGCATGTGAATATTTGTTCGGGCTAGCGTAATAAGTGGTTAAACCTGCCCGAAGGGCATGTACTGAAAAAAAGATTTGGCAAAGACTGCATTGTAATGTTTATTTTTAGATAAATCGTTACAAAACACTGATCTTTCCTTTTTTGACGGACTCATGTGAAGTAGTAAAAGAAGGACATGTTTGTTGAAACACCCTGTATTAAAGGGATTTCAACGCTTATGTACATGATGTATTTGTTTAATCATTCTTCCCACCCCAAAACAAAAAAAAGAAGCTTTTTAAAACAATTCTACTTACGCATTAGAAGTACTGCCATCTTTTTTCTCCTGGTGAAGATTCAAAATATAATTAAATGGGTTTGTGTTCACTGGCCAATAGTTTTAAACACCATCTGCAGGAACCTTGAAGTTTTCCTGTATCACCATGAACCTAAAAAAATCGATGTTATACTTCAGTATCACAAAACATCTATCCTAAAACATTCACAGACAGACATTACACACATACAAACGTTCCACGTTCCATTTATGTTCATTTTTTGAAAATAATCATAAATTGTGAATTTGCTTCATCTTGCACTGATATAAGTCCCAACATTGTTTAGTTAAATAAATAATACAGTTAAAAAGCATGTTTTACTGACCATGCTGACAAATAATACATTAGACAAAATTAATACATGTATCGATCATGCTATCAATAAAATATGAAAAATGTTAGTGTGCATGTTCACACACACTTGAATAAGTTGACTGACTGCTTCCAAAGAATGTACATGTCCTCATTCATGTAATCCTGTTCCATGATAATAGTTTTCATTTATACCCCTTCATAAAATGACACATGCATGTCACTTACATACTGCAAGACCCTGATGGCCTGTACATTGAGTACACTACTTTCACTTTGAACTTGAACTTGACTGAATACCGATTCCGACCTCGTTTGTGAATTTTTGTGTACATATTGAATCCTTATGTAAAAATATACTCAACTTAGCTTTGAATTAATAAATAATATAAATTGACACATTAATTGAATTTATTCGCTACATACATGTAACTGTAAACAACAGGAGGTATGAGAATTAGCTGTATGTTCATAAGGGGGTGGGGGGGGGGGGGTTACTCCCATATGAAACTGTCTGGGTGGTTTAAACACAGGCACAAATTTAGCTTCCATAAACCTGTAACAGACTAGCATTTCTCCTCCTATATATGTAAAATATGTATAGAAAACCATGCGAAAAAGTGGTCAAGGCAAGAACAGGCATGGGATAATGACTGAAATATAACATAACACAGTTTTACAAATAAACCCTTCACAGAAAGTTGTGCTAGGTTCCCTACATGAACTCATGGATTCTGAAAAACCTGTACCAGAAACCTGTGCCATTTTCCATATCTGGAGACCCTGATTTGGGAAACCGACCATGTCAAAAAATAACCAAATATGGAGTCATGAGATCTGCATGTGCCTTAATTAATTCATCTAGATTTGGGTTAGGATCTTGGAGAATCCCCTGATGTTGCTGTAGATGCCAAATAGAGACTGAATACAAACTTTACAATGCTTTACATTATTAATTTGATTAGTTTTAGAATTTTTAAAGTTTGAAATTAATACATGTATGAGAGTGCCACATTCATTTTTATAGAACTTATCTACACTATCATTTTAACAATTTATAGTAGTTTCTTATTAAGAATCAAATGATTCAATGCACAATTCTATAGTAATTTAACTTAATTAGGCCAAATGAAAAAAATTATGTGTTTCTGGTGACATATGCTAAAAAAAAATTAGGCTAGGTAAGTAGGGAATAACTTTTTTTTTACTTTACTGTTAATTTTGTTTACTTGATTGTTTGTTATTTAATTCCCTTTCGAGAAATTTTCACTCATATGGAGATGCCACTACTTGTCGGTGGAGGGCTGCAAATTAATAGACCTATACTCCGCTCTCAGTGAGGGATCTTTTTCATGCCAGCACCTACTGCGACATAGGACCTCTGTTTATATGGTCTCATCCGAAGGACCGGTCTTCACGTCCCACAGTGGGATGGGATTCGAACCTGCAATCTAAGGATCAACTCCTTACTTCGCGACTCTAGAGCAAACACTCTAACCACTGCGTCACACAAGCAACACTTTTCATTTTGAAAGCATCAATTAATTATTCTGTACATTGTTTTTCTATCATATACATGTACATAAACATACATGTATATGAATAAACAAACAAACATATATATATATATATATATATATATATATATATATATATATATATATATATATATATATATATATATATATATATAAAGTAGGAGTACTCTTTAAGACTCTTGGATAAACAGGTTTTTACAGTGTACGAGACATGCATTTTATGGACTGCACTACGAGAAAACTTTACTATGAACAAAAGTATGATTCAAAATCTCGATTTGGAATAAAAAGTAGTAGAGTCGGTGGGTAAAATTAGGTCAGCTGGGTTATGGGAAATACATGTTGTTGTTTTTTTCAGCCTAAGTTTGTTCAATTTGAATTTAATAAAATCATAACTTTCTTTATCATGTGATGACACAAAATGAAATGAGATTGTTAACTTAGGTTAAATCATCATTGATCAACAAAGACTATTTCAATGTCTGTCAGCTTGCATTGAAACATCCAAGGATAAAGATTTCAAATGGCTTCTATATTAGACTTACTTACTTAGACTTTTAGTTCGAAAGTGACAAAATCATTCAAGTTGACCTAAGTACAATTCCAAGTGATATACATGTATATTAGTTATGTATCTTTTATAAATTAAGAAAGACACAAGCTATATTAGCTCAGGATCATGAATCCTTCTAATCTGATTTGCACAAAGGAAGTTATGATCATGCTATGTAAAAAGCCGTGAGATTAAAAATACATGTATATAGTTTGAACCAAATCTGCCTCATTCAAATTTTGTAAGTTAGAAACTGTCTTCTTGGGACAAGTATTCCTTGCCTACACATTGGTTTCTGTGCACAAGAACACCTTGCTTTCAACCTCAGATTCTTTGTCCATATCTTGGGTCTGTGGAGCCCGTACATCTTTTCTAAATTTCATATATGGGTTCCGTGCCTTAACTGTGTCTATATACACTATGTCTATTTCACCTCAAAATTTTGGAAGGACACTATATTGCGACTCGATTTGTTTTAAAATATGCACATTAAGCAAAATAAAAGTTGTGTATTTCATAGATTTCAACAATTGGAAATGATAATATTATTAAATTACAAACTTCAACTCAGCCTGAAAGTACAATTTTCTTAACAAGTAGAATTTCTCTTAGCATGCTTACCAATAGACGTACTCAATATATATGGGGTATACAGTCCACCAATACATTTCCCATAGGCGACAATGTTAACCCTTTCTCACACTGTTTTAAATCCTTGCCTTACATTTAAGGATGGAACAACTCTCAAATAACATCTCAAGGTGGAATGTCAGATTGTTTTCCGGCCAAATGCACACATTCGCAAAAAATAAACATCTGAAAATGAAAGTAATTAAAACAATAAAAGTAGAGCATTAACATTTCCAAAATCTAGGGAGTGCACATATCAAACTATACAATTCCTTTCCTTTAAAGTCGCCCGTGTGGCGCAGTGGTTAGAGCGTCTGCTCTAGAGTCGCGGAGTAAGGAGTTGATTCTTACGTCGCGGGTTCGAATCCCACTGTGGGACGTGGAGACCGGTCCTTCGGATGAGACCGTATAAACCGAGATCCCATGTCGCAGTAGGTGCTGGCACAAAAAAGATCCCTCACTGCTCAATGGCCATAAATGCCGAGTATAGGACAAAATTTGCAGCTCTCCACCTGCAAGTGGTGGCGTCTCCATATGAGTGAAAAATTCTCGAGAGGGACGTTAAACAACATACAAACAAAACAAACCTTTCCTTTAAAAGATATAATGTGAATTTACAAGAGTCTCACTTAGCCTATCTTCTTTTACGTGTTGGTATCACAGCTGTATCACATATCACGCTCACAAACACCACAGTGAAAGGTTTAAAATATATGCACAACCAAACCTTTGTGAAATATCTGCACTTGACTGATATCACATGCATGACTTAATAATTTTATACGTGACTCGAATGACCTCTGATTTGTTTATCATGTAAATATTTTGAACTTGTCATTTACACCTTTATATAACGTTTCTTACTCTATACTTACCATGAGGGGTATTTACATACTAAAATAAATCACAGAATGACATCGAAGGTATAATCCAATAAGTATTTCTATGTTATTAGGTTCACAATCAAGCATCACGCCACAACAGTTACGATTAAGTAGTAATTCGTTCCGGTGATGACTCGGAATGAAATTTTACACAGAAAAAAAAATGTTTATTACTTGAGTAAATTTGAGTAGAATAGGTTAATCAGACAATTTTTTTTTACTAGAAATAAACATGGTAAATGGAGAGGGGGGAGGGGGGAGGCATTAACAATGTTCAAATAGATATTTCTATATATAGTCCCTGATTAGACTAAGTGTAAAATTTATGCAGTTCTTTATATATACGATGGACAATGTTTAGCAATTCATGCACCGATCCAGTCCAGTCCACTCATATTTTTTTTATTTTTATTTTTTTATTTTTTATTTATTTATTTATTTATTTATTTATTTATTTTTTTGAGTTTTCAAATTGTAGTTTTTCTCGGGGGGGGGGGGGATGGACAAGTTTGCGTTTTTTAAAGTTTATCTATTTATTTTTTAAGTTTTGGGTAAATTTCTCAGTTGGATTTTTTTTGGCCCCCCCCCCGGAAGACCCCCCCCCCCCCCGGAAGAATTCCTGGATCATCTCCTTCTGAGGAAACAATAGTGAACATGAATCACTAACTCTAATGAATAAATATGGTAAAGTCTTGGAAACCACATTTTACAATTACCGTAATCACACCTCATCAAGTCTAGAGACTGTAATTATTTCTCTTACACGGACAGGTAAGCAACTAATGATTAAAGTTTCCAATCTGAATACATGTACAAAAACTTGCAGATTTTCATATTTTGATTAGTTTACCAGCTTTAAGGACACATACAAGAAGAACTGAGCATACTTTATTTTTGGATGAAAGAGAACTCTGATCTTGTCTACATTAGCCGTAGTATTTTAAAAATGCATTTCCCCTTCCGATCAAAACAGTTTATCATACACGTACCTCCATTATAAAGATATCTAATCTTTCTAAATTCTTTTTATACAATACATGTGCAGGTGTTCCATTGTGACATACATCAGGGACATTGTATTAGAAAATATTTAAATGAATTTGTTCATTTGAAATTCTGTAAAATCAGTCGAGAAACATTTAAAATCGAAAAGTGTGATTCTTATATAGTGAGAACGTACTGTTAAATACTTTTGTAATCATACATATTTGAAGCAGTTTTTTTTTTAAATAAAGAATAAATTACAAATGAAGTGCATGTCTTGGACAAAGATAAATAAGATAAATAATTTCTAACTTCATAAAATAATTTATTTAACTTCTGAACTGAAGATGTGTTGATGGCAATATGTGTGACTATAAAGGATAGAGATAATTCCAGTTCAGTTCATAACTAGAACAAAGAACCAGATACGTTTGATATATTACATGAAGTATAATTTTTTATATAAGTTGAACATGATTAATTGATACGAGTGCATGAAATAGAAACATGTCAACATTATGAATAATTCGAGAAAATTCGAACTTAGACTCGATGACGACTGCAAATTATGCTTAACAAATGGATTGGGCCATGTAGTGGATTTAAAGTTATATGGAAATATATTTAAATA